AGTGTCGGTTCCAGGACAAACCGACGGACTCTGGCGTTCAGGCTGGGGCCCAGGTCCCCCCCTCACCCTTCGCCCCAAGGACCTGGTGCTGAGTTCCATGAACCCCGGGCCCGGCTAGGAATAATCCCACACCAAGGAGCCGGTGCCTGCCACTCGGGAAGGACACGGGAAAGACATGGGAAGGACACGGGAAAGACATGGGAAGAACACGGGAACTGATAACAGGAAGGAAGTCGGGAGGAGGAGGAGGAGGGTCCGGCTGCTGTGGGGGCTCCTTCCAGACAAACCCCAGGCCCAGCAGCGTCACAGGGGACTGGGGCCTGCGGAGCCCCATCTTGGGAGCCGGCCTTCCTCGCCAGGCCCAGGTCTCTGAGCTCCATCGAGACTCCCTGGCCCAGATGGTCTCCACCTTCGCAGCGTTTCCTGGAGGACCCCCCGTGGTCCCAGCACAGCCCACAGAGTGAACATTGACTGTGGAGTGTGCTCCCAGTGCACAACTTCTGAGCTAAACGTCTGCACGGGCTCTGACAAGTCCAAGAACATTCAAGGGCCCACAGGACAGAACATGTGGGGTCCGGGTGCTCTCAGAAGCCTGGGCCCCGCGCCTGGGACCGTGCTGGCGGCCTTGGGAAGTGAGAAGGGTCGGTGTGGGCTGGACCCGAGGGGCCCTGACCCAGGTGCCAACAAGCAGCTCGATTGCGAGGACATCGCTTCATCGCTCATTCATTCACTCATTCATGTGCAGCCTCCCTCTGTCCCCGCCCCTGGGCACTGAGCAAAGACCCGCTGGCAGTGACAGATGAGAATGCCAAGCCAAGTCACGTGTGCCCAGTGTGTGCGCACATGTGCGCACCGGCCGTCGGCCCACAATGCCCGTCACAGCCCGTCACGCAGGACCCTGTGGCTGAGGGTTGCCTGGACGCCCACAGGAAGTGATACTGCAAAGTCAGCCTGAGTCATCCTAAAAGCACCCGCCCCCCGGCCCGCAGGCCTCCCAGAGTGACTTACCCAAGGCCGAGCGGAGGTGGAGACAAAGCAGGGTCAGAGCCTCAGGGGCTGGTTCCCGTCCTCGCGGGGGCCACTAGACCATGCCCTGGAAGGGAGGACCAACAGGTCACTCGGGTGTGGACCCGGCCCAGAGCCCACGCCGCTCCCTCCCGATGCTTCCGTGGCCAGTGGGGGGACCACGGCTTTCACAAGTCCCACGCGAAGCGCAGAAAACCTGGCTCCTGGCCCGTCCAGCCGTTCAGGGCAAGGGCCATGGCCCGTGCACCTCCTGCCCCAGGAGGGAGGGACGCCACCCCAGTACTGACGGGAGAAGTCCCCGTGAGGCAGGGCCACCCTGGGGTGGGGCTGGAGCCAGAGCTGGGCGTGGCCTGTGGCCTCGGTCGGCCACCCAGGTTCAAGAGCTGCAGCAACACTGAGCGCTGCGGCCAGTCACTCAGGCGCCTGCGGCCACACCTAACTGTCTGACCCTCGGGGTCACTGTGAGGGCCCCTGGCACAGGGCGGGTCGCAGGACATTCACCCCAGCTGTGGCCCCACAAGCCACGAATGACCAGAAGGCATCACGACCAACATGCTCAGTGACCGGCTCAGTGACGGGAGAGCACCCGTCGCCACGTGGACACCTTCTACCCCAGGCCATCCTGCCTCCCTAGACGCACATCACTCCGGCCAGATGTGCCTCTGCTCTGGGCGGCCGTGTGGCCACGCCCTCTGGTCTCTGGCTCAGTTTCCCAGACAGAGCAGGGGGCGCCCTGAACCCCGCGGAGGAAGCCGGCACGGCACGGGACACCAGGAGGCCAGGCCTCCTCGCTGGAGGGAGGAGGGGCCGCCATGCCCGAGGCCCTGAAGGCCCTGGCTCCCAGGCTGCGTGGGAAGGGCCATTAACTCGAATTGCAAATTTCCCCCTGGCTCTGCTGCTAAACCACAGGGGCTCCGCCACCCGCTCCTGGTGACAGATAAAGATTACAGTCATTGCATCAAGCAGCAGAAGTCATTATGCAGAAATAACTGTGCTGAGTTATGGCTGGTGGCTCCTCATTTCTGTCTAGCGATGGTCACACAATGGTCCAGGAGAGCAGCTGGGAGGAGGCCCCGTGATGCAAACAGACCTGCTGGGCCCCCTGGGGGCCCCCTGGGACCGGCCCCCTTCCTCCCAGCACTTGGAGGAGGAGATGTAAGAGACAAAGCCCTGGGAGGGCCACACCCCCAAAGTCACCCAACAGGGGCCCTGCCCTGGACCCCTTGGAGGCCCACTTCACACA